GGCGGCGGCGGCGGCGGCGGTGGGCGCGGGGGGCCGAGGAGACGGTCGAGACTCTGACCGAGGGCGTCTTGATGGCGAGGGCCGCGGAGACGGTCGAAGCTCTAACCGAGGGGGTCTTGACCGCGAGGACCTGGCTCGGGCGTATCGGCCGTTTGGCGCAAAGCTGTGTGCGATGTGTCGCGTCGTCGAGCGGCCGCACCTTGGCGAAGAGCGTCGCGGGCTTGGGATGCATTACCATAGTCGCCATTTTGCCAGCCTGGGTGCGAAGAAAACCGCCTCTCACTTGTCTTTCCCACTCAATTGATGCCTTTTACGAAACGAATGTCGTAGGGTCGTTGTGTAGGTAAGCTACATTGTTTGGTAGCAGCCTCGTGTGGAGGGGACCAGGCAAGGTGGGGGTTGTCCCAGCAACACGGGCCCAGCGTTCTATACAGGTACAACGAATAAGCGCCCAAACCTTGACGAAGCTTTTAAAGTTGTTGCATTGTGGCCTTCCATGTCTTTCTAGGTATTTTTTATAAGTGGCCAGTATGCTCGACATATCGTGAATTCTGGTTTATGATATCCATGCGCTAATCAATCAACATCAAGCCCGATGCTACTTGCAGCACATACCGATAGAGTGGGTCTGCTATGGCTCGCAATATATTCGTACCAGTAGGACAGCATGAAGCCCAGTCCGTATTTCGATATCCAATTCGCCCGCCGTTTCTCTTTCTTATCTTTAGAAAGGCAGCCAGGCCGTAGTTGGTGAGCAGTCTGCCTGGGCTACCTTCCCTGGCCACATGGCAACCCGGGTCTCGGGCAATGCCGTGATACCCTAGAGCCATGGTTGGTACTTAGCTTCTACCTGCTGATGATGACTGCTTGGTCGCTGGGTGCAGGAGTTGTTTGACGTTTTGACCATCACGAGCATGAACCATCGGCCGAAGAGTCGGCAGCCGCTCGGCGAAAGCATCTTTGACGACATCCGGCAACGTCGGGGAAAGGAGCCCCGGCCCCACACAACAATGCCGCTGACTTAGAACATGTTCTTAGTGGGGAAGAGGGGCCTCTGTTAGTAATGCGAGGCGCTGTACTTGCTGCTGGGCAACTGGCTTTAGGGGCCTCAGGTATCCACCGGTAGCTGCTAGAGTCACTGTAATCTCGAATTCTACCCGCTGTAGCCACCACTGTACAAGCTTCCTTCGCCCACTGTTAGCCTCGCTCCCCCCATACCTACCTACCTATTATGACGACAGGCTGAGCTCACCAGAAGCTCCCCCGTCATATTGGCCGGCTGGCGAAAAATAGCTCGGCTCTTCGGCTTGACATCATCAACACTCCCATCATCACGACTGTGCAATTGGTAAGCATCCCCTTCTCTGCGGCTTCATAAAGGTCCTGGCACCTCTCATCCTCCTGCGTTGCATACGTTCGAGGCGCATTCAACTTTTGCGCTTGTGCTTGCATTCGAAACGGAAGCACGGCTGACTCGTCTCGCGACAACCTCATTCGCAAACGCAATTGAACCACAACTGACAATCTGAATTTGCAAAGCCGACACTCATCACACAATCGACACCATGGCCTCTACTCTTCTCCGCACAACTCCCGCCGTGCGCGCTGGTCTCCGCGCCGTCTCCAAGCCTGCCGCTGCCATGGCCTCGACCAGCTTCGTTCGCGGAAAGGCTACCCTTCCCGACTTGCAATGTAAGCGGCCTCTACAGCCCCCCTTGAAGAAAACCCTCTGCGATCGATATCGTCACCGATACTCAGCTCAACTTTCGCGGTACACCCCCAAAAGCAATCGCTAACACTTGCACCAGATGACTATGGCGCTCTCGAGCCCTCCATCTCCGGCAAGATTATGGAGCTTCACCACTCCAAGCACCACCAGACCTACGTAAACGGCTTCAACGCCGCCGTAGAGGCTCTCTCCGAGGCCCAGGCCAAGAATGACGCCAAGGCTGCTGCTGCCCAGGCTCCTCTTCTCAACTTCCACGGTGGTGGCCACATCAATCACACTCTCTTCTGGGAGAACCTCGCCCCCAACGGCCAGGGTGGCGGTGGTGAGCCTACTGGCAAGCTTTCCGTATGTGGCACCCGTGTTGCATCTCGCTTGATTGACTGCACAATTTGGCTAACACCATCATGATCTGTAGACTGCCATCACCGAGGACTTTGGATCCTTTGACAAGCTCAAGAAGCAGACCAACGCTGCCCTCGCCGGTATTCAGGGTTCCGGTTGGGCCTGGCTGGTCAAGGACAAGACGTCCGGTACCCTCAGCGTAGTCACCCGCGCCAACCAAGATCCCATTGCCGGTAACCTCGAGCCTCTACTGGGCATTGATGCTTGGGAGCACGCCTACTACCTCCAATATGAGAACCGCAAGGCTGAATACTTTAGTGCCATCTGGGACGTTATCAACTGGGACACCGTTGCAAAGCGTTTTGAGAAATAGGTTGCACGATTGAGCGACTGCATGCAGTTCAAGACCGACCGCCAAAAATTCAAGGCCAATGTAATTTATGATATACCACCAATACAATAAATAATTTCTCGTACGAAAGGCTATCAGTATCACTCAACTCATATTTGTACACTCAGCCACACTTTGCTTTTGGCGCTCACTGACTAATCGCGTCGTCGCCGGAGCCTCGTATATCGACACAGCCAGGTCTCGGATCAGTTCGGTATCCGCTTGCAGCAGCTCATCAGGGCCGTCTCAGACGTCTCTCTCCGCTCCCTCCTGACTCACCTTCACAACCAATCTCACTCAAACGGGAAATCAAGCAAAATCTCAACTTCAGTCAAGATGCTATTCTCATCCCTAGCCAGCTACGTCCTGGCAGGTTGCACATGGCGTACCATGCAGCAGGCAGGTGCCGCCGACAGGCTGCAGCCGACCGTTGAGAGCGCTCACGCCCGGGCGCACCCCATCTTCCGGGCCATCAACAATGCCGGCCGACAATGGGGTTCGTCCATGAACCATAACGGCTTCAGCCTTTTTCCCGCCATCATTCCGGCTGGTACCGTCCTATATCATGGCAGCCACTCTCAAGAGCCCCCCAAAACATTCGAATGGCTGGCCTTTGAGATTGAGCACGCCGAAGGCTTCGCCCTAGATATCGACTTCGTGCCAGTCAGAGACAAAGACAGAGTAAAACATGGCGACGAAAAGGCCGAAACGAAGGATATGCCTGGTACGCAAAAGACCCTACGTCGGAGCCCCCCAGCAGACGGGAAAGGCAATAGGCCCCGGGCTAAGCTCGGGTATCTTCAAAGTCATCAAGCGACCAAGGATCTGCACGTGCTCTATATCGATGGAATGTCTGGCGGGAAAACGGATCTCGGTACCTTGGACGCTGAGCTCTACATATTGTACGGGAAGCCCAACCTCAATTTCGAAGACGGCGAGTTTACCCGGGCTAAAGTCATATGCGCAATCATAACGAAATGGGGATACGATGGCTTCGTTCGCATGGAGATTGGCTTTGAATACGTTCATTGTGACTTCTCCAAAGATCTCGATCTGATTTCCAGTCAAGCAGTGTTTCACCGCAGGGGCGTAGTCAGCGACTCGAGCATGGTCTACTTCCAGTGGGCGAGGGCCGTGGCGGAAAACTATGACGGAGTCGGCACCGATCGCCTGCGGATTGATTACTCTTCCATGGTGTCTGGGCTCTTCTACCCTCTCAACATCACAACCATGGACCCTGAGCGGCCAGATCTGATGCGTCTGGCGACGGCCGGCCTACACGACTTGCAGAAGCTCAAGCCGGAGGTTGAGATCATGGCGCGTCACCCTCGACGATTCACCATCAACTGGCAGGCAGTCACAGATACGATTGTTCGAAGATTTGCTAACAGGCTTGCTTTCATGACTACAGACGACATTAGCCAAGAGCACCTGATTGGCGAGATTGAAACCGCTGCGAGAACATATATCAATGCGCCGGTGCCGAAAGATTCAAAAGCGCCACTGGCTCCAGAGCTGCTGAAAGAGTCGATTTCAAAATGTATTGAGCAGCCTCTTCTCCCCGCAACCTTTCACAAAGCGCAATGGTCAAGAGAAGACAAGCTCATTGGAGTGGCTATCGAAGTCGCGATGCGGGATATCTGCACCGTCATTCTCGAGTCTTATAATGCCCTGCGCGCTGCCGTTGAAAAAGACGTGTCGGAAGGAGACAAAGGGTTGACGTCCCACGCAAACAAGGCAGCGAAGAGGGCTCACCGAGATATTCAGAATCTGACAGCCACGCTCGGTTGGAGCCAATGGAAACAGGTTCGCCGCTGCCCGCCAGACCAGGTGGTCTTCACGATCATGTGGCCTCTGGGCAATACGGAGGACTATTTCCACCCCACATGCATTCCCATAAAAGAAATCAATCCAGATCGAGATACTTACTTTAGGTACAACTTTCCGGGCGAACATGGACGGCACGGACGCGAAAGACAAGATTGAGACATTGTACCACTGAATTCGCGCGCATTATACGAGGCCGGCACGGCATATAGGCAGACTGACATCAATGCGCTGGTAGTCTAGAGGCGCCCGAACAAATAACACTATGAGCAAGGATACATATTCTTTGCGTTTACCAAAAACGTTTTGTCTGCACAGCTTTTGTTCCATGGGATAGGTACGACGACAGCCAGGGACCTCTGGTCTACCCACGGCTGCACGCAAGAGAGCCGACGGAGATCCTGGCCAAAATCGACACTGACGTTTGCCGGCATGAGAAGTGTAGACTCAATCCATGCTCGCTTCTTAGCGAGTAAGCAGCACAGAACTTGGTCTCTGAATATAGAGCCTATCTGCGCCTCCGAGCTACTGGTTCTCCGGCAGAGGCCTCTCCAAAGTCTTGCTGTGCAACACGACTGAGACTGGCCAATGGCGCTGCCGTCATTGTGCGCCAAAGGTCGTATTATTCCAACAAGCGAGCCCATGGTTACTCTAGATGATGGCTTAGAGGCAACACCTGTGATACCAGGTTCCTGGCGGCATTGTCGACTACTCAGCTGATCAGGAGAAGGCGATACTGTGCTGGGCTGAAAGAGGCAACTTTCGTCCGGAGATGTAAGCTGTACATTTTGCTTTTTCATTCCGAATTTGCTCGTACTGGAGATCAGAGCACTTTGGAGAGAGGGCCAACTCGCTCTCGGCCCACGCGATGATTCGGCGTCGTGATTCTTAAACGCTTGTCCACTTGGCCCGACTCTGTCCTGGGTCTCGCATGCCTACTTCCTTTCTTTTTCGCACACTACTAATATTCACCGTCGCTCGTTGGCCCGTCCGTCCGCTCATTCCCCGAACATGTCTGAGAGCCTCAATAGAAAGGCTTGCGATCGCTGTCACAACCAGAAGCTCAGCTGCAAGCGGATCGGCAAAGGGGTTTGCGATCGCTGTTTAAGACTCAATGCCGAATGCAAGTCGAGCCCGTCACTCCGGTACAAGAAGCGGATTCAGCATTACGATCAGATTCAGGAACACCAACAGCTGCAGCATCAGCAGCAGCCGCCGCCGCCGCCGCCGACGCAGAGTCCCGACCAGGCGCAACAATTGTTACAGCATTATTATTCTCGAGAACTGCTACAGCAACAGCAGCCTCTGCCACAATTGGCCTACTCGCAAGAGCAGAGCACCGCACCCAATAATGCTCTCTACTCGGAAGAACAAGACCATTCTGAGGCAGAAGATGGTACAGAACGCCGCTGCCCGAAGCGGAGGCGGAAAGGAAGTGATGCTCATCCTGTCCAACGTGACACGGGTAGGTTACCCCCAAAAACAGCCGCTATTCTACCCCTGGTATCATTGCCAATTGTTTCTGAGACGAAAAGGGATATCAGCTAATTTATTTGTGGAAGTACTTCCGTTATTAGCAACCGACGCGATGTCGGCCCCCGGCATACCGAGCCAGGTAATGACGGTGCCGGATGGGTCTGCAGGGCTGGCCGAGTATGCAATGAACTTGCGGAATATGGATTACATGGCACTGTCCCAACCGCCGATGCCGCCCAATTATTTATTAGGATCGCAAGTTCCCTCTGGCGTCGTTGACTACTTTCCCTTTCATCAAGTCAATCCGAGTTTCTGGCCTAATCAGTCACACGAGGAAGCACAGCAGCTGCAACATCATCACCTGGTGCTGCACCACCACCAACCGCAACAGGTCTTTGATCAAGATTCATTCGCACCCTTTGCACCTCTTGTTATACCAGATCCAGCTGTCGCCCAGCAGGATCCTTGCAGATCTGTGCAGCCGCCGCCGCAACAGGACTGTGTCGTCCAAGATTGTGCCACGCTCGTCTTTGGCAGCAGAAGACGCCAAAGTGCCCCTCCGCCGCACCCGCAGACATTTTATTTCCCTACGACGAAGAGTCGGTCTCGCTCAAATATACTACGGGCCAACTACAAGGATTCCGTGACAGCTAACGAGAGCAATCTGGCCGTAATGGATCAATTTTTGCTAACCTACACTCGTGTCCGCCTGCTTGCCAACCATCTTGAGTGCCTCGAGCAGGGCAAGGACTATCGCGATGGTCCCGGCGGAAAGCCCAATGAATTCACCGTGGCCGAGCTCTATAAGCATACGCATTACCTCATCGAAGTTCTCGAGCGCATTGTGGCCATGAAGAGAGCGTCCAGCGACTCCGCCACCGGCCAGGCGGAGCTGCCTCTCAGCGCGACGGATCCTTCCAACGGCATGTTGACAGTATCTCTCTACGCGCACCTCCTTAAGACTCTGCAGCACCTCTTTGATCACGTCCGCGTGGTTCTGGCCGACGCGGACCCCAAGCTGGATGATACGTTTGACTCGTACCTCCTGCCGGTAATGAACTTTGGCATCGCAACCGGCGCCTCCCTCGACACCCACCCGGCGCTCCACATGTCCCTGACGGTGCAAGTCGGCATGCAGTACCTGGGGCGGCTGCGCGATGCCACTGCCTTCCTGGGCCTTACCCAGGGAGCCGAGACCAACGGACACGGGGCGCATGGCCCTGGGGCATCGGAGAGCCAGGACTTGATTGCCGGCAGCGCAGAGATTAGTGCTTGGTTTTCCAATATTATGAAGATGGAAGGCAACCTCAGCAAGACTCTGGGACAGCTGCAGGACGAGCTCAACGACTTTATGGATGCCATGGACGTGATTGACGCCAAGGAGGAGAGGGAGAAGAATGAGAGGAAGTAGTGCGAATGCGCTGTAGTGCGTATTCGTGAAAGTTGGTGGCTGTTTTTCATTTGGCTGCGCTACGAACAGCCAAGGTATCCTGGAGGGAGTGTATTTGCAAAGTTTCATGGATCTCGTATGTACTCTAATATACTTGTGTGTATAATCATGGTACTCTTTGTGTATAATAGCGGGTTTGTAGACTCGACTCTGCCTGGCGCGGCGAGGTTGGATGTTCAGAGTCAACATATGTAGTAGGTGCGCAAAGTTGACGCTGCCGAGCATGCTACAGTTGATGACCCCAAGCTTTCGCATGGTATTTTTTCGAGATTGATTCTAGCCGATGCCAGCGAAGAAATCCGCGTCTGTGACATTAGCACTGTTACTGCCAACCTAGTACCTAGGAAGGCGCTTCTGATGCTTCTCTTCAATAGCGGCGCGATGGTCACTTTGTTTCTAGTCAGCTGTCCCACCTCAACTACTACATGGCACTCAGAAAGAACACAATGAGGCCTTTGGTTGCAATTTACTCAACGCCAAGAGGGGCTACTTCTGGAAAGGGGGCTGCCGTATTTGCCAATAATAAGCCATTGGTTGAGAGCAAGGGCGGCAACTACGTTTCATTACCGAGTCACAGGCGAAAATCGATTCGTGTTGGTAGATGATCATCTCTCGTACACGTGAATAAGTGTTCTTCATAAAAGAAGGTTGTCTTCGTCATGAATGATTTACAAGGCAACTTCCCCTGCTTTTATCGAGCCACCCCCTCTTCTGACTGCTGAGAGAGATACGCGATGAGACGATGCATGTTATAACCACGATGGGAAAAGCGTTAGATGGCGGCGTGCCAACAGAGTATACATAGTATTCAACTATGAGAGTAGGTAAGAAGCCGTTGGGATATATTTCGACCTCGGACCAAGGAAAATAAAATAAAGTATCCGTAGTTTTCGAGGGCCCTTTTGCTAGCGACGCCGGGGAGTCTCTTCCGGGTGGGGCGAAAGCAGCTCTCTTGCCCTGCCTGGCCACTGACCGATCAAGATTTGTAAGGAAACCAACAAAATGAGACTTGGAAGCAATGGCCGCGGATTGCGCGGACGCACGAATGGAATACGAGCAATAAACTTATTTAGGAGGGGAGAAGCTTGGAAGCCTGCCAAGCTGACTGGTTTCAAAACGTAAAAAGTGGATAGCGCCGCGATAACCGGTCGGGGTCCCGGTCTGCAATTCGTCAACGCTTGTTTACACTATCATCCATCGTCCGGGAAGGCGGAGAGGGCTAGCACGATACAAGGCCAACAAGGCCAACAAGGCCCCGTCTTGCATTAGAATTATTAGAGGGAGGTTGGGGGGGGGGGGAGGGGGGCGGACGAGTGACGCGCGGAACGCAGAAGCGGACAGCGCACGCCACCCGCCCTAGAAGGCCGAAAGAAAAAACCAGGAAGCGAGTGATCTGCATGCAGTCGAATGGATTGCACGGGCCTTTCCGTCGGCAAGCCAGGGCGAGAAAATGATTGATTACCCACAAGCATCGTTGAGTGGCAAAGTGGTTGGTTATTGGATCTTTGCGTCACCCATTTCCAATAGGATCTTCTCAGGAACTGGAAACTGGCCATTGCACTACATGAGTGGCGGGGATGTGCAGAGATGTATCGAGTACGGATACACGATGTCGCTCGCGATTAAAAGAAAAAAGCAATATGAGCCTTGTTTTGTCTCACCATGATGACGGATGGAAAAAAAAAAGGAAAAAAAAAGAAAAAAAATAAAGGATGTGGCTGCAAGCGGTGAAGAAACGACGCCATCATGCGTACAGACTGGAAAAAAGAAAGGCGCACAAGAAAGCAAAATAGCAGCATCGCACCCATGATTTTTCGGCCCCACGAATGGCATGGTGCGTACTCTGACAATGGTACTACGAGACATTTGTCAAAGCTCACAGACCGAAACAAGACGGCTCGTTAAATGGCTCGGATCCTCGCTGAGCATCAAACCGCAAAAAGAAACAGAGGCATCGAAACAAACCGTGAAAGGTCCGATACGTTATGCTTGATGGGCTGAACTGGCTGTGCTAGGTTGTCTAGGCACGGTCCGAGTCTATTGGCGCAGCACCCATCAACCAACCAACCGGCTCTCGTGGGGCATCTCGACCGTCGAAGCACAAGTCAGTTCAAAGTTGGGGCATCGGCCGGAAAGAGTGGAAGCGTCTTTTGTAGCCCTGCCGCTTTTGCGAGCGCATTGATGTGGCCTGCATAACCTGTTTAGTTATGCGTTTCGCTGCCGGACCATGATGTCGACTGCGCCAGAACCATCGACTCTAGAAAAAGTCGTAGCGCAGGCAACAAGCCACCTCATTTCATTGACTGACAAGTGTCTCCAGTTAGAGTTTGACAATACATTACCGAATAGACAAGCCGTTAGCAGATTGCACTTGCCAGGTGTCAAGACAAAACGTCCACGACGGAAGCACGACGTAGTCAAAGGGTCTCTCGGCATAAGAGGTGGAGGAAAGATACCAGGATCGAGTTGTTTCCGACATCACTGTACGTCATGGGCACCGAGTGCCGCAGCACACCCAGCGCGCAGCAGAAGGCTCAGCAACTCGCACGGGTGCTTTGGCGTCAGAGAGACTGCTGTAACGGTGACATGGCTGCACTGAGAACGCGCCAATGATCGATTCCAGGTCGAGTCTGTGTACGTGCGCCAGAAAATCGGGCCCATTCTGAAATGGAATTCTGAAAAGAAGAGCACAAATAGACCCCTTCGCAAGCCGTCCGATGGGGGTTTCCTCTCTTTCGCGCCTGGTCGATTGGCGCTTGCTGCTCTTTCCGTAGATGTCGATATCGATATCTCAATCCTGGGTTGACACAATCGTTGATAGCTAGCAACTTAAAACCAAACCATTTCTCATGAAGTACTTTGAGTGCAGAAAACACAGGCCCATCGGCAGCTAGCCATGGGCACCCCGCATATGCAGGTGAATGGATTCTAGCTTGGTGAGAGCTAGCCAACAGACCAATCTGGCTGGAGAGAGAGACTGCGCGCTGATCTGGGTTGGCGCATGGCCGCATCATCTGCACCCGCCTATCTCATGTGTCAGGTGCGACAGTAAGTGTAGCCCGCAAAATAACTGCCATGACACCTTATAGGCGCATCTCATCGGCCGGTTTAGTGCTTCATGGGCATAAGATCGCCGATGGCATTGGCGGGGTTAACAATCGACCACAGATTCATCCTCCGGCGTCATGATCCTCTCTGGGGGAGCCATATTGTCCCCTGCCCGTAGCAAGGAATTTACTTAGTTGCAGAGAGGATCGACTAGTTGACCTCGTGAAGCAGTCGATGTGTTTCGTCGACGGTTACCTAGAGCGAGGTCCTAGCATGAGAATCCACCACGGCTCTCGGACTCAAGTATATAGTATATATGTTGCCCGCATGCCCAAAGTCGAGGTCGAGAGTCGCCGCATGCCTTATTCAGATACCAAAGAGGCGAGAGAGCGTTACAAAATGGTTATGCCAAAAATTTGTGCTGCCAGCGCAGTCCTGGCGGCCGTCGTCAACGCAGTCCCTACCGTCAGCGATGCACATGTGGCAAAGCACGCCAATCATAAAAACCATTACGCAAACAACATTGCGCTCGCTGCCTTTGCCCTTCAGAGATTTTGGTATAACCAGAGTACCGGCCTTTGGGATAATGCGTGGTGGAACAGCGGCAACGCGCTGACAACGCTGGCCGACTGGGCTAAGCTTCGCCCTATTGAGGCCGAGAGACTCGAAATTTCCGACGTGATCCACAATACATGGTCTCGGGCGCAGAATGTCAATGTCTTTACAATAAAGACCGTCATGAGCAACGGCATAATGAAGACTGAGGACTGCATCAATGGCGAGGGCCCTGCTTGCGCTGCTGCTGCTGCTGCTGCTGCCACGGGCGGCGGCGTCCAGCCCCAAGCTTTCCGTAACTTTCTCAACGACTTTTATGACGACGAAGGCTGGTGGGCGCTCGGTCTCATCCACGCCTATGATTACACCCATAAGCAAGAGTACCTCGACTCTGCTGTGCGCATCTTTAGTGACATGCAGGGTGGCGGCAATACCAACTGCAACGGTGGCATTTACTGGAGCAAGAAGAGAAATTATGTCAACGCGATTGCGAATGAGTTGTATCTCTCCGTGGCCGCATCGCTCGCTAATCGCATTCCCAATGACAAAGGCAAGTACACAAGCATCGCAGAGAGCCAGTGGCAGTGGTTCGCCAACAGTGGCATGATCAATGGCGACAACTTGATCAACGATGGCCTAAACGATCAGTGCATCAACAACGGCCAGACGACTTGGACGTACAACCAAGGCGTCGTTCTGGGGGGGTTGGTGGAGTTGTACAAGGCCACTGGCAACCGTGACTATCTCGACCGTGCCAACGACCTTGCGTCTGTGTCTATGAAGAAGCTAGTCGACGGCAATGGGATCCTCGTGGAGGGATGCGAGAATGACCGAGGTCACTGCGGCGGTGATGGCGCCCAATTCAAGGGCGTCTTTGCCCGCAACCTGCGTTACCTCGACGAAATCTCGCCCAGCAACGACATAAAATACTTCCTCGCGCGCAATGCCGACTCCATCTGGGCTAAAGATCGCGATGAAAATAATAACAAGCTTGGTGTTGCGTGGGCTGGGCCGCTTTACAGTCCCATCGGCAATGCGCACAGCAGCGCGATGGACGCACTGGTGGGAGCGGTAGCTGCGATATGATTTGTCTTGACTCGCTGAACGGCGCTCTTTTGTATATGTTATTCATCATGCGGTCAAAATGGACCACACCAGAAAGCAAATGACGAATGCAACCTGTCTGAAACAAGTTATGCACAACGGCATCAAGTGCATGATCAAGGCAATGTCGAAAAGCGGCACTGGCTCTAACCCGGTTAAGTGTTTTGGCCCCCATGACGCACATGCGAGTAGCTGATGATCATTGGTGGGCGGCTTTACCATTCCTGTGCTCTATTCGTATAACTAGCCTTTTTAGACAGACTATTATAGCTGCATTACCCTAGTCGCCGCGTGGGAGCTGACGCCATCTTCAGTGGCAGATGGAAAAAAGGACCGGGGGTTTCCGTGCAATAAAGACCTTGGGCCTGACAGCTAGGGCTGGCGCTGCAGGTATTATTTTCGTTTGATTTAAAATTGCAGGTTTTTAGCGTGGTCTGTTGTTAACGAGCTGGCTGGAGAAGCATTGAGAAGGTGCGCAGGATGGCCCGAGCCGTTGCCCGTACGGCAGAGTCCTCCACAAGCCCCGCTGCGGGACAGTTCTTCCAGTATATACTGGGTTTCGAGCCTCAGATAATCAGGGACGAGGGAAAGCGCTCTCTCGCAATGGCGTCCATGACTCGGCGTCCATCGTAAAGGGCCGCTTTCGGAACGCACCCTTGCTGACTGATTTGATTGGCTCCAAGACAAATGGAAGACGGTGATGCAGTGGAAGGCCCGGTTGAGGCGTGTCGGAAATTTAGACAATGTTGGCCTGGCGTCGCTTGCGATTATAGTTAGAGTGGCATAGAAACATGCGTCAGCGGCATCAGCGCCTTGTATCCACGGGTGTTCAACATGTAAAAGACTGATGCAAGTACGTATCGGGCATGTCCTCGAGGCAACGCGGGCTGGACTCTTCGGCATTCGAAGGGCCAGCACAATCTGAATGCGCTTCCACATCGCGTAGAGGCGGCCAAGGAAAGAATTGTATCAAAGGGAGGCTATCACAGTATAGTTGAAACAACGGCTCTGTTTGGTGTGCGGATTCATGAGCCATGGGCGCACGTGTGCACCGAACCGGGCGCTGTCAAAGGAGCCGATTCTGGCTCTTGTCTGGTTTCTGGTATCGAGTAATAACTAGCGCTTAGCGGCCGATTCAACGAGTATTGCCAGAGGTGGACATAATGCTGACAATATTTTGCGTGGTAGACGAAAAATCAGAGTTTTTTAGTCGCCTGATCTTTTTCAGCGCACGGATAGAGCTTGCAAGAGCCAGCAATCATCCAGGTTGCAGCAGCACATATTTGGTCACGCCTGCGCTGTTGGCCGAGTATTTCCAAAGCATTGCCGAAGCTAGAATTTTCTGTCCTTGTTCTGTTTGTCGGCTGATGTTGTGACGCCCAAGGCGGTGTTGTTCTTTCGAGCAACCAGCACAGGCGCAGACGAGTCGGTTGACCGCTGCATGCTGGACGGGCCTATCACGATGATGCTGGCAGCGCACAGATGCCGAGGACCGTTTTCCATTCGCATCGTCGTGTCAAAACTGGGGCAACTGCGGAAATTTTGATTCTCAACGGCGATGCAGGACGGTCATCCGAGCGGCATTCGTCAGAAATGGTTCGATTATTTCTTCGGCACATGCACTTTGGCCAGGGTCTAGGACACTAAGGAAATATAGTGTGCCCAATACACAAGCAGAATGAGAAACGGTTACTAGGTAGGTAGGCTGGTAGTACCGGTAGGTAGCCGACAAGATCCTCGGCAGGTCATCAAGAAAGACGGTAGTCTTGAAGCCCAACGTCGGTTGAATTTTATCTTCTTTCCGAAAGAAATTTCTCTAATGTATTTCGCTTCCCTATGTATTTCGCTGTTAGTTTCAGTCTCTGGGCAAAACGGGAAGTTGGGATGTGTAACACTGATAAGGAAACATGCATCCAGTCATGGTTCACCAGGGGAGCTGATCTTGTTCTTGTTGCCGATGGATGTGACGTGCGAGGGCGGCCTCGTGCGCATCACCTCTGACTCTGCTACGGGCCCTTGCAGCGCATTGCCGGGTTGGGCAGCGACTGCAGAAATGCTGCGACCGGTCAAGAGTCGCGCAGGACCCTTTGATGCAAACCATGCGCAGTGCAATGTTAATCCGACGCCATTCCGCGTGGTTTACCAGTACTCATCTCGGGTCCGGGACCACCGTGGCGGAGAAAGAAGCTTGCACTCTGGACAAATGAACCAGGGGTTGCGAGTGCCGCGATGACTCGTTGGTCCTTGATGCTCGCATATAGGTTCCGAATAAGTAATTAATTTAGCATTGACGGAAGAAATAATAATGGGGGCTTGGAACCAGCAAAGGAAGAGAAAAACTCGGTCGGCTCGAGGGATAGAAAAAGGGAAACGGCGGCCAGGCCTGACTGATGATGAGATGGGGCTAATAATTAGCACTTGGCAGGACCGCCTGCTGGCAGCGGACCGTCGCGGCACCATGATTAGGCAATTGGTGATAGCCGCTACGTGCGCCACGGCCCGCAAAGTCATCTTTAGTCGGTAGTTTGTACATGAGAGAGAATTGCTGGACCAACAGAGATGTTTGTCAATGATGCAGATGACATGTACGGATTACCGAATAGGGTCTGGAAGTAAAGGTCCGGTGGGTGTGCATCTCGTGATACAGTACAGGTACAGTACAGGTACAGTACAGCTATTGTACCACGAACAGTGCCTCAAAGCAGGCCCGTAGCCACTGTGCCTGGTCAGCACCTTCTTCACCAAGCTAATTAAGAACCTACCCTACCTCCTAATATCCTATTTGTACCGCCCGTTCCAAGCCTCACTCTAATCTTCATAACTTCTGGCATCCCACACCTCCACCATACGCCTCCAACCCTCCAACACGCTCTCAATAACTAGCAGCCTTTCTCTGCTGAAAACCTGTAGTTCCTACCGGAGGCAGCGGTATTCAGGGAAGAGGGGTGCGTTACAGCAAGGTGAGGGTGTGTCTCCTACCAGTACCTCGCACACCACCCTGGCCTGGTCTGGAACCATGGCTCTGAACAGAGGTTCCGTTCGCACTCTAGACACCCCCCCTCCTCCCCCCTGGCTCATATAAAATACAGAAAAAAAAAAGGTGCAGACACATTACTCTTTCTGCCGGCATCGAGACCAATCATCTCTGTGACCCGGATGGGCGGGCTATCAAGGCGCGGAAAAACAGACTGAGCAGCCTTACTCCATACATACAACGTCTCTCTTTCGCTGCGGCCGCACGCCCATGCCACCCCCCAGGGCAACTCTTCTTTTTTTAAATAGCCTTGTAGCCTCCACTCCAAGTCCACCTCTGCCCATCGTCGTTTTATCTTTCGAAAGCCATATTAACTGTTCGACTAATATAATACCCTTCTATTCCATCTTCCAAAGTCTTTCTGCGTATCGGCATTGGCTTTTGTGTGTAACACGACCTTTCTCGACCCCGCCTTCGTACCTATATCTGCCGCCACATCTCCTCTACTACTAGCACTGTTCTGTCGTTCCTCCTGCAACAAACATTTTCCACAACATACGTCTACAAACGGCGCAATGTGCAATTATATTTATGTGTGTATCGCCTCTACGCCTCGATATATCCAGGTGCTCTGCATGATTTCAACATACATCTAATCCGCCTCGCAGAGAGAACTCAGCTGTCAGCATCACTACCACTTGGTGCAATCCTGGTGTCCCAAATATATTGAGACTGAAAAGCGCTGTCCGCCTACAATAGTGTGCAAGCAATACCAGTCGGTTTCCCCGTCAATATCCTCGCTGTTTACCTTGTTTATGCTGACCTCTCTTTCAGTGGTGACGAGCTATGTTGTATGTTACAGTCTTGGTACCTCTGCCGACGACCATCTAACTTTATGTAGCCGCCTGCCGAGAACGCCAATTCCCCAGTAACCCTCCATGGGCCAAGCTGATAATGCGCCCTGCTCAGCCTTCGTCGCAACGTTTCCAGATTCCGGCCTAGGAACTTGGGATTTGTGGAACGGTACGACCCAGGTCTAAAATTGACCGCTTCGTGGAGAGAACCTCGAGCATCAGCTTTACTTCTTCACGAATGACTATATAACCAAACACCTACAACCACTTCATAAATACGGCGATACAGCGACAACGGCGAATCCTTTTTTTTTTAAACTGCGCAGAACTGCTACCGGAAGAACTCAAGGTGCAAACCTTTCGATATATTCTTTGTATCTTTCTTTCGACATTTTCGGCATCTACATATACTTGCGGCTCGAAGCGCAAGCGACAATACACTTTCCCACTCTTATTGTCTCCCTGGGACTTTGATATTATTGAGGAGTCTATCTTGGTTTATTTTTTTTATGTTACTGGATTTTTCATTGCAACTGGGAAACGGCTGGCTATACACTGGGAGGGCACGCGCGAGCAAGCGGCGAGAGATTGGACACCACAGGACAGGATAGTCTAGGCCTTGCAGTCAGCAAAAATCTAGCAATGGTTATGGGAGGAGGGGGGTTGGGACAGTCTATTTTTTTTTTTTTGGAGTTAATATGCATACACAATATACCACTTCTGATTTACCCACGACAATTCGTCGCTGTGACGTATCGACGTCTGCGAACCATGTCCCATCTCAATGTATATCCGTGGATCTTCAAAGCATGCCCCATGATTGACCCAAGCGTATGGACGCACTCAAAGGACGCCAGATCCAATTGCGGAGATGCATGCACGCCTTTCATGACAGGGGGGCAGGCCAACCCATGCCCACGCACAGCAACCTCTTTCAGTATGCGACCTTCTACGACAAGCTCCCACCGCGCCATTTTACAGAGAATGGGCCAAAAGATTACGGATACGTTGGAGTTTTCTGTAATCGCCAGGAACAGTACATGGCATGTTCGCTGACTGGGCCGTGATGCAAGCACAGTTCCTTTGCTACTTGTCCCGCTGTGTTTCAGCCTGCAGATCAGAACCCGTGTAATCCGTAAACTATGGCTTGTTCC